ATGGCTTATGTTACTTATAAGTAAAATAACAAAAACAACATAAAGTTCAGGGAGGGTAAAATAGAAAGTTCTACTAAATATGAATTGGAATGTTATCACTTGAAGGTAGATTATGATAAGGTAAAAGGTATAACATAAAGAAATCTCCCAGCTCAGATGACTTTTTAAGAAAAGTCTGTCAGATCTTCAAGGAAAAATTAATACCAGTCCTATGCAGTTTTTCCCAGAAAATACTGACTGATTCATTTTACAAAGCCAGTATTGTCTTGATACCAAAACTAGATAAAGACAGTACATACAAGAAAAGTAGACAAAAGCTATAGCCTGATATTGTTCATGTACATAGACATAGACTTGTAATAAAACATTAATGAAAACAATGCAGCAATATGTAAAAAGAGACACAATAAGACTAAGAGAATTTATTTCACAAATGCAAAGTTAGATCAGCATAGTAACAGATCATAGAAGAAATAACACATTTATATAAATTATTATAGAAGAACTATTGGACAAAACTCAGCAGCAATTCATGATAAAAACTTAGAAATTAGGAATAGAAAGAGACAATAAAGGACATCTGTAGAAAAATCTCTGGCTAACATCATAGTTAATCATTAAAACTAAATATTTATCCTCCATGGCTAGGAGTATGAGAAGAAGATCTGTTCTTACCATCTTACTCTGTAGAGTGCTCAAAGTTCTAGCTAGTGCAATGAGCAAATGAAAGAAAATAAAATGCACACATCTATAAAAGAAGAAACAAAATGTCCCAGTTTGCCAAGGACATGATGACATTTTCACTGAAATTCTTTTCATGATTTTGGTTTCAAAATGAATTGGATGAGAACTAAATCAAATTTTCCCATAAGGTCAACATTGGACCTAAAAATTGAATTGATTTGGTTCTCACCCAATTTGGTTTGCGACCAGAATCAAGGAAAGAATTAAGTTTGTGAACGAAGGTACCACTGCACTTCATTAGGCCAGCAATGAACACTAACACTACCATATTATTACCATATAACACCACCATATTATTTACAAGCACTCACAAAATAAATGCCAATTATAAATCTAACATAACATCTACAGAATTTGGTGCAAAAAGGTATAAAACACTGATAAACCAAAGATTTAAATAAATGAAGAAATATTTCAGTGAATTGGAACATGCAGAATGATAAAATTGTCAATTCTCCTCAAATTGATACAATATTTAACAAAATTCCTACAAAAATCTAGAGATTCTTTTGGTGGGGGTTAGGTGAAGATAAGCTTGTCCTAAAATAGGAATAGAAATGGTAGGAACAAAAATAGCTAAAGCAATTTTGAAAAATGAGAGTTGGGAGCACTGACTCTGAATTCAAGTATCACATATTTTATATCTAAAATGTCTCACAGAAGCTTTGTTTCAGAGTGAGTCTTGGCTAGAAGCGATGGGTAACTTGGGTGTGGAGTATGCTCTCGTCCCTGGCTCTTTCTTGCTTCCCTTTGCTCCCGGCTACCACGCAGTGAGCAGCCTTCCACTGCCACACCATTTCTGCCTTGGAGCCAGCCTACCATGGCCTGAAATTATTGAAACTGTGAGCCAAACTAAACCTCTCTTCCTCAGTACCAGGTGCTGGGTATTTTATCCTAGTTACAGGAAAGTGACTAACACAGAATATTAGTACAAGGAGTGGAGTTGTTTCAGTGACTATACCTGACTATGTGGTTCAGAAACTTTTGGAATTGGTTTGCAGGAGGAGTTTGGTAAAGTTTGGAGATGTGGGTGAGAGAAGCCTTATAATACTGCATGTAGAGATCGATGAGCAATTTTGGTCAGAGCTCAGAAGCCCAGGACTGTGATAGAAATGCAGACAGTAAAGGCCAGGCTCAGGAACTTTTACTTGGGAAGACAACTAAACAGGCAGTTGGACTCCAGGTAATGCTTGTTATGTTATGGAAAGATTGTCTACACTTTGCCCATGTTCTGAGACTGCAAGAGTCTGAGATTAAGGATAGAAAACTAATCTGACAGGAAATTTCAGGGCAGTCTAATGCTCGTTCAGCTGAGGCATGGGAACTGCTAGCTGCTTTCGGCCTAATTTATAATGAGACACAAGAACAAAAAGCAGAGGTGGATGATGTGAAGCTTGCGCAGAAAGGAAGTAGTTATAATGCTTGGGCAAAGAAAACTGTGGTTGTTGAAAATATTAGTATTAAAAAGAAGCCAAGTACTTTACATCAGGACAATAGGAAAGATGGTTTGTAGGCACCTCAGGAAATGTTCATATCCAATCCTTTTCAGGTCAAAGGGTAAAAACTATAAAGTTCTCTATTTGAGAACAGAACTCTATGACCTCCTGCTTAAAATGGGTTGCCCAGGGAAGTGGTTCCCTCAGCTATCCCGGTACTCATGCCCATTGCAGACATGGTTCAGTAGGGCCTATCTACTGTTCCAGCTGGTGACAGACTTTAGCACCATCCACGTGAGGCTGGTTTTGCTAAAATACAGAAAGTAAGAGTTTGATCACAGAGGCTTCCACCCAGAATTGAAAAGGAGGCCTGGGCCAGGAAGTAGACCAGCAAGAGGGCAGTGTGTGGAGCTGTGAGAGTGAAATAGAAGGCGTATTGAAGACCCCATGAAGTTGGATATCCCAGGAACGTGGAATGTCTGCTAAGAAAATCCACAGGCAGTGAACAGACAGAGCCCATGAGAGAGGCCGGGTAGGATGCAACTGGCAAGGGCACCAGGGCAAGTCTTCCCCAGCCCTTTGGAGATGCCACTGATTCTAGACACAGGGTTACAGGATTTGGTCTGGTTTCTTTCTGTTCCCCTATTCCTTCAAGTTGGAACAGGAGTGTTTACTCTGCCACTGTGTGTTGGAAGCATTTAACTTTCTTTTTGATTTTTATGGGAGCTCAAAACAAAGGTTTGCCTTGAGTCTCGGAAGAGTTTTCCATGAGTATTCATACTAATTTTATATATGACTCTAACTAGAAAACTACCTAAATGTCACTGGAGAGTGGATAAACGAAGTGTAGTTCCATACAATGGAATACTACTCGGAAATAAAATAGACTATTGATACATTCAACATTGATGACTCAAAATAATATGGTATGAACACTAGTAGATATCACATTTATGCAAAATTGGGATGATGCTTATTTTACCAAACTTAAAGAGTTTTTAGAAGGATCACATAAGAGATTAGATTACTTATACATGGGAGAGTACCAAGGAATATAGGACACAATTGAAAGCATTTTCAATGAAGTAATACAATTTCACTTGCCAGTCATTATTTGATAAAGTATTTGTGAAACTAGACCAAGATCACCTTATAATTAGTTTATTGAGTACTTATTACATACTTGTATTTGGTCTCTTATTTAAACCTTAACAACATTCCCATTGGGTAAGGACAATGACTGTAACTTTACAGATGAAAGGGGGACCTACAGCAAAGCAGCAAATTTGTCTAACAAAGATAGCGCCAGCAAGGGTCAGAACCTTGGATTCCAACATTGGCTTGAGGCTATGGAACAGGCTTTTAACAGGTGCTAGGGTTTGGGTTACTGTGCCCCACAGGTGCCTATATGAAAGCTCAGTCCCAGGATGATGTTACTGAATGGTGCTATGGACCTTTAAAAGGTGGGGTTTAAAGGGAAGTCCGTAGGTCACAGAACACATTTTTGAAGGTGACTGTGGGACTCAAGTGTCTCTCCCTCTCTGCATCCATGCTCATGGTGTGAACACTGGGAGCTCTAAGTGGTGCTGTCACCATGATGCATCAGCTCACCAGAGGCACAGACTGGGAGTCTCCAGAGCCATGAGCTAAATGAGCTCCCCTAAGTAGCCTGGCCAAGCACTTTGTTACAGTGATGCAAAGCTGACTATACACACGTCTATCTCTATTATCAAATACCAGGAATTAGTACTTGCCTTATTTTTAGAGCTTTTGTACTAATTCAAAGAGATAATATGAAACTTTATAAACTTGAATTATTAATGTAATTCCATGCTGAGCCCCAGACAGCTTCAGGAGCCTCAGTGATCATGCCCCACCCACTCCAGACCATTGCATCCATGTTTATAGCAGAGCAATTTGTCATAACTAGATCTTGGAAACAATCCAAATGCCCATCAGTGGAGGAATGGATAAAAAAGATGTGGTATTTTGATACAATGGAATATTACTCAGCTACAGAAAAGATAAACTCAAGGCTTTTATAGGCAAATGGATGCAACTAGAGACCATACTCATAAGTGAAATAAATCAGACTTGCATGTATGTGTAAACACCATATTGTCTCCCTAGTGTAAGAACCTGAAAGAGTAAATGAAACTCAAAAGGTAAAATAGATATTGTGAAAGGGAAAGAAACTGCTCAAAGGGAAGGAACAACTGGGATAAGGGAAAGGAAAGAGGAAGAAAAGAGGGAAGGAAAAAATATATATATACATGTATGTGTATGTGTGTATATACAGGGATGGCTGGGACAATTGTATTGCTGATGTCTAATGGTTTGTTGAGGGAACAGTTAATGTCTGATTTTTTTTTTCTTGAGCAATTTTGCATGCTTACATCTGGTAATCTGAACAACTAATTTAAAGACAACAATATGCAATAAAATAACCATTGTTGAATTCCTACCATCTTGTTTAGCAAAACTCTGTATTGCTTCTAATTTTTTTTTATTACTTTTTATTCTCTTAGTGGTTTGCTCACTCTTGCATTCTTACATCTGGTAATCTGAGCAACTTCATTGAAGATAACAATGTTTAATACAACAACCACTGTTAATCCCTATCATTTTGTTTTGAAATTCTGTATCACTTTTATTGTTTGTGTTGTTTTGTTTTTGTCTTTGTTAATTTGTTATTTTTTTTATTGACTTTAAAATAGAAAAGGCACAGATGGCAGCCTAAATTATTTTTTACCTTTAACAAGATTATTTTACTCTCTTTACTAAGCATTTCAATAATTAATAAGTACATAAGCCAGTAAATCATCTCTCAGTATTTTATTTATCATTGTAACTTGGCAGTAAGAAATCACTTTCCAAAAAGACAGTACATGTATTTTCACAAGTCAATCTGAATTCATTCACTTTGTGTTCCCATTTCTCCCGGCAGCTTTGTAAGAATCCATGACTTTAGTTGTTCTAGCTCAGGTTTGCTGAATTCATGGTACACATTTGGAAAGCTACGAAACTTTGTGTTCACCCCTAGACTTTTTAACACTAAGTTTGTCTCTTCACCCCAGGAATGAAGAACTAATTCATCTGCAGTACCGTGACACTGAAACAATTCTGGGAGCGCATCATCATTCTTCTGAAGTGCCTAGATAAGAAAGTAAAAGCAGAAAAGTATAAGAAACTGTACTTAAAAGGATCATTCTCAGAAATCAGAGAGGAAGAAAAATTCCAACTTTACTGAAGTTTCCGTAACTAAAGGGAAAAGGAGTACAGGGAGCGCTGCCTGAGACATCCTCAGGCGGCAGAGCTGGAGGCTTAGCCGGTGGCTGGCACAGGGCAGAGGACTTCCCAGGATGCTCAGGGCACTTCCTGAAGACTCTGAGTGACGTGGGAGACCGTCCCTTCATAAGTGCAGAGCTTAGGCTCACAAAAGCGAAGAATGATATGCTACTTCTCATACTGTACTTGCTTTGCTGTTTCTACTTCTAGTAAAGAGGCTGCAACCCTGCACTGTACCATCGTCATCAATTAGGGTTTTCCTGTAAAGTACCAACTCTGTACATGATTACTCAAGGCAGAGTGGGCAATCTTGGCTACAGTCTATATTTTTAATACGTACAAAACATACACATATACCAACATGCATGCACACACACTGATTCTTTACTCCTTAGCACTGCTTGAGAATATTCTTTGTGCAGGGCAGTTTCTAAAAATTAGCAGCTAGAACTAATCAGTATAACTCACTGGGGCATAAATTCCTAGGAATGCTGAATTTACATTAGATGTGCATCAACTTTAATTGCTTAATTATCAATTTTATTTTGGTTTCCATGTGCATGCTTCATTTTTTTTTTTTTGGTTTTGTTTATTTTTTAATCTGGAACGTACCTGGTAAACAGCAGATGCTTTATTCAGAAAACTAGAAAGAGCAAATACCCCTGCCACATCTCGATGGTTCCTATATGCTAAATGCATGGCCATACATCCTCCCATAGAAAATCCTCCTAAAGAAGCAAAAATTTGGCAGAAAAATCAAAATACATGCATTAATTCACAAGAAGATATATCTATGCCAATCTTCCTTAAATATTTAAAAAAATCCGAAAACCTTTAAAGACGTACAGTGCTAAAAGGAAATTGAATCCACTTTAGGTCTCATAAAAAAGACTTGGTCTGATCAGTAAATAATACTTCCCCAGCCATGTTATCACTGCTAAGAGATCTGTGGTACAAAAGCAGCTAAGACTGAACAAAGAAGCCCTGCTCATCAAGTCAAAATATGTATCATAATCCAAATTGAGTCACAGTACAGTATTATTTAAATTTCTAATGTCAACTGCTATTTTATTTATACTTACAGAAAGTCCTGACACTGCAACTACAATTAATATCATGTACCTTTTTGCCTTACCTGTTGAGCTGTGAATTCCAGGTGGCTACATGCTTCCAGTGTCTGCCAAGTCATAGGTGCTTAGCAATTTTTGTATTAGGAAGGATGACCAAAAATTTGCTGGGTAGGTTAAAACATTTTTGGATTACAGTTTTATTTTGGAAATGGCTTAATGACAATCAGTGGAAACTTGACAAATTTATCATGACCTTGTATGTCCAAACACAGTACCTGTCACTAGAGATAGGTGGATTAAAGTGCATGGACCCTGTTGTTCAGGAGACTGATGAGGAAATACACACATCATGGAATCCAGAGAGTACCATGAGGTAACAGTGGCAGAGAACTGGGGACCCCGCACCTGCCTGCGGACCAGAGACTCCAAGTGATATCTCCAAACTTGAGTGAGACTCAACAGAAGTTGAGTTTATATTTCACAAGAAAATGAATATGAAAAATAAACCATGCAACTACATATTCATGGAAATACAATTTTTATAGAACTCAGATTTCCCAATTTCCAGCCTATAACCTTATTTCACCCAGAAAGTGTAAATCTGAGCCCTTAGAGACCATACATGTGAATTTACTACAACTGCCTTCTTTTACACTTGCAGGACACAGGGGCCCACCGAAATTGGGTGACTCACTTACAGTTGCACCTCTAGTTTCAGGCGTAAAGCTGGAACTTTTGGAATCCAGATTTCCTGCAATAGAGCTCAATGTAATTCCTATCATTCACTGATATTTAGTAAAATAGGATTACTCTGTCTAGGGCAGGCAGATATTATTATTTTGGATCCTGAATACAAATACCTGAAAGAGGATGATCAGCTTGCAAAGTTTAGATGTATTAGAAGAACGTAACATGTACAATAACCAGACAGAAACAGGGTCTCACCAGCAGCAGCAGTCCACCCTGGATGGAAACCACCTGAAAATGCTTTTTCTTTTTTTTTCTGGTACCGGGAATCGAACTCACGACCTCACGCTTGCCAGGCAGACGCTGTGCCACTGAGCTAAATCCCCAACCCCTGAAAATGCTTTTTCAAAATGTTCTCCCTGACACCTCCAAAGGCAGACACTTCTAATAAAGGTTTGCGAACAAGGTCAGTGGGGGGACAGAGAAAATAAACACCCTCAAGCTGCTTGTAAAATCTGTGCATCAGCTGGCTCCAAAGCTGTATTATCCATGACGCTATGCAGTGACTGATCTTTCAGTGGGAAAAGCCTACCATGACATGATCAGCACTGCCTGTAGTTAAGCCTTCATTCTAAACGTGCAGAAAGAATTCCAAGCCTTATTTATTTATTTTTGCCACAATTCCGGCTGCGGACTTCTCCTTGCTGATGAAGTTTTTCTATAAAATAACACTACGTGGGTTAGAAAACAAACACATTTTGAAATAATTGTTTTTTTGTTTGTTTCTCTGGTGACTGAGCCCAGGACCTTGTGAGTGAGGCCAGGCAAGTACTCTCGCACTAAGTCACACGCCTCCCTGCAGGAATAAAGCTCTTATCCAGCCTTGAATTTACTGGCTATGAATTAGTTGCCTGGATTTTGAAATCTTCAGTGGTCAGAAGCAGTCTTTGGCATCACCACGCTTTGCCTGGCTGCCCGCAATGAGCTGAGCAAAGAGCCTCCCCCTGGTGCACCCGAGCTAGCGAGCTGGCCTCCTCTTCACAGGCTCGGTGGTGCGGGAGTGAGATAATACGAAAGTAACAGAGAATGTGCAGATCCCATCACGTTTATCACAGAGACACACAAAGCATTTCCTACCTTCAGTTTAGGTGGAGAGAGGGGATTCGGTTGAAAATAAGGGGGCCTGACTCCCAGTCCCACCTGTGACACTCCCTGGCTGAAAGCTTTCGTGTAAATTGTTTAAAATCCAGTATTTCATTTCTAGTAAAGTTAGCCGGAGGGGATGATTTCTGGAGTCTCCATCAAACTTTTACACACAAAAAATTAATAATCAGCTATAAAAACTGAACCCACAAAGGCTTTCAAAGCTGAGGAAGAAGAATCCATTAGCTCTCAGAACAGCATTTTAGCGTCCCTAAAATTTTACAGAATCAGTTTTAGCCAATGCCCACTTCCTTCATCTCTCCCAATTTGCCCGTCTTCCTTAGGGGCCATGTACTTATGAAGCGAATTCCGTATTGCTCACAGCAAAACTCATTGTTAAGAATAAAACTACACTTCTAAAATTTGGCAGGCAAATGTGAGGAAGAGAGATAGATAGGGGGAAAACGTGTGAGATTGAAAGCAAAAGAGAGAGACTCCCTGACCATGGTACTGGAGTGGGAGTGGTAACTAAAGCTGGAATAGCATTTAGAGTTTTGTTTTTTTTTTTTTTGGTTTTTCTCCGGTACCGGGAACCAAACTCACGACCTTGCGCTTGCCAGGCAGGCGCTTTTGCCGCTGAGCTAAATCCCCAGCCCATGGAATAGCATTTAATGGTATCTTCATAGCAAGGCAATAGTCTTTAAAAGAAGGAATTACAACAAATCATATCCGAAACTGATCCTAGCACTGAATTCCTTGGGGAGTTTATTAAGCAGATCTTTACTAAATATAAAACTCAAAGCCAGACACTATTCTATATTCAGCAACTTCTTCCACTGATTTTTTAAAATGAAAATCAGGACACAAAGGCCTAACATTTACTAGAAAATAAAGGCCCCTTGAGCCTAGGACAGTGCCTGGTGTACAAAAGGAGCTTTATAAATATTCACTGACTAAATGAACTTAAAGTAAATTGAAATGCAATAAAGATATTTCTGCAAGGAGACAAATTTGTCATCAGGAAATGTAGCTTTTGGGTGTTCCAATAAAAGCAAAGCTTAGAAAATTTAGGACTGACTCACTAGTATGTTCTAAGCTAATCACTCCTAATTTGGCTTTTTAAAGATTTTAGACTTACACCCAGACCCACTAACAAAATGCTGCCACCTCTGGCTAATTTTAAAAAGCTTTTATGCCACAAGTCAGATGTTATGAATGGGTAAAGGGGTCAGATTAGATCTTAAAATAACAATACTTCATTATGCTCATTTTTCTTTTCTGTACCTTATGAGAACTGAACATGTGGTTAAAGGTCTGCAGGACAGGCTTCCATGTGGCAAGAGTTCAGGATTAATTACACTGGGTAAGAACAAAAAGCACAGATATGGTCATAATGTAAATCCATATGCAATAGATAAAGTTACTATTTTTCGGAGAAAGTCAAGTAGCCTGAATTATGGTTTTGCCAAGTGTAGCTCATGCATATTTGAAATGTCAGTTCAGATATTTATAATCACACTAATATAATGTGTGACTGAGAAATTAAATTTAAATTTTATTTATTTTTAACTAGTTTCAATTTGAATTTAAAAAGCCACAGCAAACTAGGGGTTATATTGGAAAAGGAGTATCGAACTGCACCAGTGACTGATAAAACAATCAAAGTCCATCAATGGAGCATAAAGTAGCATCAATATTTCATTAAAAGATAATGTTGTGATGTTATAATACAAATCATTAAGAGATAAAATATAAAAATCAACTAGTAGGGCAAAATATATTAAAACGATTCTCAAAGCATACCTGTCAGGAATGTTTTATACATTCACTGCATCCCCACACTTCATTCCTGTCCACACTGGAACCTAGTCATGAGAGGTGGGTTAAGGGCCCTGGATGAGACTAGCCTAACTGAGAAGAGCAAAGGAAAACATCAAGGTGAAATGCCACTGTGAACACAGAGACATATGTAAGCGTGTCCTGCAGACCTTTAACTACACGTTCACTTCTCATAAGGTACAGAAAAGAAAAATGAATGCAATGAAATCACATTATTTTAAGATTTAATCTGACCCCTTTCCTTATTTATAATCTAGTGAGGTCATCTGCAGTTCCCCACTACATGTCTTTGACAATACAATCACCTTTAGCTTGGTACACCGCTGTGAAAGGGGATTTTGTGTATTTTTTTCTAAAAAGAGAAAACCCAGCACAAAGGGCTAGTCATCTGAATTAAATTTTCCATCTAAGAGTCTAAAATCTAATATAAAATACACTGTTCAGTAAGTAAACAGCAAATAGTAAATTCATTGTAGGTAACGGTTATAATGGATATTTATAGCTGCTGGTAAAGTGTTTTAAATGTCAGAGTTAACATTTCAACATACACTTAAGATTAACAAGCTGAGTAAAACATGTTAAAAATAATAAACTTGGCTTTATGAACTCTTTATTTAAAATAAAACAGAAACAATCTATAAAAAAAGTATATTACGAAAATTAAGAGAATCTGAAAGCAAAATCTTAAGGGAAAGAAACACAATTAAAGTTTGCTATCAACTAAATAGGATTTTAAAATGTAATAAAATCCGCCACCACTCCGAATGTGAACAGTTCTTCTCTTTCACTTATCTTCTTCAGACTTTAGTGTGAAAAAGTCTCAAAAGATCTGGCACTATACAGACCATGCTTAACATATTTGTTTGTATACTTCCTCGTATACTAACTTTGTAGGAGAAACAAACTATTTATTTTCCTCTATGGAAAACTATTAGAACAACAGTGCCAAGCTTTTAAAATCCTGAAAACTGATGTTGAAGAAACATAAT